ACGCCGAAGACCGGATTCGGACGTGGCGCGCGTCCAGACACAAATGCTGCGGCAGCAGAACGAACGTCTTAGCCCCTCGAAGCGCCTTGTCCAACCCACGCGACCGACACAAGTCCGCACTAACAAGAAGCACGCGTATGCTACAGTTTAGCATGTCTTGTTGGCGGTTGCAGGTAGTAGAGGAAGTCGGTCGACGGCCTCGTGTACAAGATGACATTTAGCTTTAAAAGAATGGCGACACCCTCGCCACCAGACTTTCATTCCCTTGTCCTGATGAACCATACCGCTGCGCGAGTAGTGTTGATATTGTACATTCTGTAGGTACGACTAGAAGTGTCTCTATCTGTCGGAGTCGAATTCAATCAATCAATGAATGAATCATTAAATCATTGAATCAAACGTGTTCGCTTTGAAATCAAATTAGCAAAAACGAACTCAAGACTTCGCAGACGTAGTGCTACGCCTGAATGCGTGGGAGTTGGCACCAGCACTTGGTCGTTGGGAGTGAGCTGCGCACGGAGAGGTCCATCCCGTGGTGAGCCCCACTCACCGAGTGATAGCTCGCGCGCGGTCGTACTCGGACCACCCGACAGAGAATGCGAGCCGTCGGGTGTGTTTCAAACGAAACCGTGTCGAGTTGAATTGACTCTTCGGTGATATAATAGCAAGTCGGTGAACAATAGAAGCATACACATAGGATGGGCCGAACTTGCTGAATTTCACAACAGAAGAAGAGAAAAAGCGAACGAGAATGACGAGCGAAAGTTCTGCTCATGGAGTTTTTCGCCCACTTTAACCACAATGCTGGATCGCAGGTCAAGGAAAGACTCTGGTCAATGGCTCCCGTCCAGTTCTAATGTCCTACAGGTGTCTCGTCGAGACCGCTTTTTTGCAGAATGGAGAGCAAGGTCCCAGAAGCGCCATCCGCACCAATCATGAGATATCCTTGGGTTCACTTGCTTCGTCCAAGATGATGACCAAGGCAGACTGACCAGGTGTGCGCTGTGTCGGTCGACGTCGCATTTACAGCACTGGGACAAGGCAGTAGGAGACCTCGTTGTTAAGCCACGAGTTATTAATATGCCCCTCGTGGAGGTAATATTGGATGCAAGCTTGTGCTATATTCGTCAATGCGGGTTGCAATCCCATCGGGCAAGTGCGATGGCGTCTTTCTAGCGTGTCGTCCGCTTGTGGTATCCGGACTGTTACAAACATTCGTTTTTTCGGTTGCGGCAAGCGGGCGGCTGGGCACACGCAACTTTCGCCATACAAACTTCAAGTGCAACGCACCCGCGATCGCAGCCGCGTGAGCGCGGTTACTCAAATTCAGTGGAACGTCGCGACGACCAGACCGAGCATGGAGGAGACGACGGCCAAGGTTCCGCGCGACGACGCGTCCGTCTACCAGACAGGTACCATGGCCCTTGGATGCGCCAGGAGGCTCATGCGGCGCTGCGTGTAGATGAGCTCCGAGGTACGCCGACTGTCGACGGGTTGTGGCCGTCCGACGCCATGCTCCGTAGGCTACCTCCTCAAGAAGACGCGCAACGGCAAGTGGCAAAAGCGCTGGTTCGAGACGAACGGATGCTTCCTGACGTACTACAAGGTCTTGCTACAGCGGTCGTAGGATGCTTGCTCATGGTTCGAGTAGAAGCAAGGCCAGAAGCTCCTCGCGGCCCTCAACCTGCCTCAGGTCGGCGAAATCGCGCTCTTGCCCGAGACCGCCGAAGGTACGCATCGTGGGCATCGC